GAGAATTAGTCATAAAACCATCAAATTCAACTTCAACTCTCTTATTCACACAACTTAACAGAAAAACATGATTTCAAGCAAGTTTCTAAGTAGAAAAGGGTGCATTTAGCATCAAAATTACATCACAAATAACAATATTTTCAACCGTTATCACAACCCTAAACTTAGAACTTTGCTTGTCCTCAAGCAAAACAGAATGTAACTCGGCTTTTCAAAACAATTACTACAATGATTCAACATTTTTCAAAACTTTTTCCTTCATGACAAGAGATCACTTTTATCAGCTCAGCATACAGATGTCAGTCAAGATGTACAGATGCCTTAATTCAATCAAAATCAATGTGATGCTCATATACCTCAACAGATGCTATCCTTAAAAATGATCAATCAACCAAGCAAATATGTAATCAGAAATTTAAAGAACTACTCCTCACCAAGGAAAGTGTTTCACTCAAGCACTCAAAAGTGTATCACTCACTCACAGGTGTATAGTAAGGTGTTGGTGTCTTTTTCACTCTACTATCACAAGGTCACACAAATTAACTTTGCCTTTCATTTAACAACAATCAAACATACTCACAAGCAAGTTGTCTTCACAAGGGCTTTTCATGGCTTGTAACTTGGCTGGGTTAAGAAGGAAATTGGTTTTTCTGGTCAGCAAAATCCTTGAGTTAAGAGAGAAATTTATGATATCATCATTCAAGCACAAACTCTCTTTCTTTTTCCCAACTTTCTCTTACATTGAGCTTTTCTTTTCTTTTCTTTTTATGTAGTCACTGCTTAGCTCAATGCTTTTTCTTTTCCCTTCTCAATCTTTCCACCAACCCCAAACTTGAACCTTTATCAATACCTCACAAATGTTCTCAACTTAACTCAAGGTAAAGATTTTCACAAAGGTTTTCCAAAACATGCAAAAGGCTTAAGGTTCAAAGGTTAAAAAAAATTGTTTTCTTTTTAGTGTACATAAATCATGTGAAGGCTAAGAAAAATAAGGGATAACAAAAGATGACATTGATAATATGAAACCTACAAGCAAGTAGTTCAATCACAGAAAATTCGGGCAAAATCATTCATGCTTCCAAAGCAATAACAATTATTCACAAAAACTCTGAAGCCCAAAACTCACACAGGTAAACTCTTAAGTCCCAGAATTCAGAAAACACTATGCTCAGTATCTCAATCAAAAGCACCTGTTTCTTACACTATGAGCCATCACCTGTATATCAGCAAATCATGCATCATCTCAACATCAATCAACACACTAGAGCATCACAAAGCAGTACTTATCACAAAACATAGCAGTTGAACCAAAGCAGTGTAATTTATCCAAGCAGAGTACAATAACAAAACAAATAATTAAAAGGAAAAACAATAAAAGCAGAAACAAAATAAAGTCTAACAATTAAAGAAATAAAAACAGAAAAATAAAAGAAATCCTGGTCTATAACAGAGGTGATATCCATCAGTAGATTCCTAGTACAACTCATCACTCATCATTAGAGTCCTCATCCTCCTCAGCATCATCATCCTCATCCATAGTTGAAGCTTCAACTCTACGACCCTCTTGTGCTGGTTTAGCGGGCCATGCCACATAGGCTGCAAAGTCATCCTCATACATGAACTGTCTCTCAGGGAATACGAACGTCAGTGTCCTCAGCAGCGCCTGCTCGTCCCTGTATACGGCAACCAGTCTAGAATCAAGCAAAGAATAATACATGTCTCGCATCTGAAAAGGAGCGACATCATGAACTCGCTCTTGGGCAGGTGGTGGTTCTGTCATATGTGTCCTAAGCTGCTATGGTGGTGGTGTTGGCTGGCTTGGCTCATCCACTCCTTTCTTGGACGCTCCAGTGGTGGCCTAGAAACATCAATACCAGCAACCTCACAAAGATGAGTGATCAAGGAGGGATGTCCCAAGAGTGCCTTGCTGGTTAAACCACGGGCACAACTTTGGATCTCATCGGCTATAACCTACCCAATATTAATGCTGAGGCCCCTGAGAACATAATAGAGGAAGATGGACCTCTGGACAGTGATGTCCGATACATGGGAGCACGGCTGGATGTTGGCATGAGAAAATGCCATCCAATACTTGGCTAGAGGCATCAGATGTGGTCTAATGATGTGGATGGGTGCCCCAGACCTGTTCCTCTGAAAGTGTCCTCCAGGCACACATAAAGTGCGCTCCACGTCCTCATAGTAAACTCCTTCCAGCATGGATGTGGCAAACTAACATTGCTCCCCTTCCCACTCTGCACCAAGAAAAGTGTCAATGGTGTCAGCATCAAAGGCAACCCTCTTACCTCTTACGTAGCTAAAGTACGTCTCATCCTCTTCCCCCAATGCTTTTGCATTTGTGTAGAACTCTTTGACAATGTAATATGGTTCATGAAAGTCCTGATGTACTCATCTGCCTTTGTGGATCCATTGTACTTGTTGAACACTAGCATTGCCTAGTTACTAGGCAAAGGGTCTTCTGTGGTTCTTGTTGAACACTAGCATTGCCTAGTTACTAGGCAAAGGGTCTTCTGTGGTTCCTGCAATGAACGATAGTAGACCGAACATTTTAACAATTGCGATGGAATGATGATGGTCATTGCTTGTGGCAAAGCTGCTAGCTTGGACCATCAAATCTGGCTCCTTCCGAGGTTGCTTAACAGGTCTTGGAAGGGTCAAGGTGGAGGACATGGGACCTTTGCCCTCATTCTCTTATCGAATGACCTCATTCTTGACTCTCAACATCCTTATTTCCTCCTTGTACCTCCTCTGCATCTCATCCATCTATTGTTGCATTCTTCTCATCATGTTCATTAAATCCATATATTTGACTTGTATTTATAGGTTTCTCCAAGGACCTCTAATTAGGGTCGGCCTAATCATGACCCAATTTTTTAAAACTTAATTATTAGCATATTTAGCTTAATTAGATGACTAACTAGATTTGATCGATACCGATTAGTTTACCAGCTTGAACGATTGGTTTGGTGTGACTTGGTCAGTGTGTATTGTTCGATACATATACAATATTAAAGTATTGTAGACTTTTGAACTTAAAACTTTATCACAATTTTATTTTAAAAAATATATCAGATAATTAAAGAAAAAAATAAATATTTAAACTATTAACCTTTACTCTTAAACTATTCAAAACTATTAGATAAAAAAAAATATCAGATAAAGAATTAGAACGGATAACGTGAAATAACTTTTTCACACTATTAAGATTTAGATTAGATATAAGATCCATTTAGCCTATTTGTTAGATACAACCTTCCAAGCAACAACTTTTTTTTAGTAATATCTCTAAATCATACAAAATTACCTAATCATGAAAATAATTTCTTATGTAAATAGTACGTCATTTGTATATATGGAAGCTGTTAAAAAACATGCCCGAAAACATTGAATTAACTAATTGAACCCTATCCACAAAAGAAAGAAAACTACTTTTTCAAGAGATAATTTTGTACCCTTCATAAGAGGAACCCTAAAAAAATGCATCATAAGTAAACAACTCTTATTAATAAAATATGTGTTTGATTTTGTTTTCAATCCTATCAACATAAAATCTTAAGTAAAACTTATATTTGTCAAGAACAATGATCCAAGCTATTTTTATTGATCTCAAAAGAAAAAAAAACATTGTTAGGACATATGTGGGGGAAGACATATATTCTTTTGTAAATAACGAAATGATTACTTTTAACAATCTTTTCATATTTATTTGAAAAATATTATGAAAAGTTAGTTCAAAAACACTAAATTAAATTGATATAATAATAATAATAATAATAATAATAATAATAATAATAATAATAATAATAATAATAATAATAATAATAATAATAACTATTTAAATTTTTAAATGAATTTGAATAATTATTCATTTCTCTAACTAAACATTTTGTCGATAAATTATATTAAGTTATACTTAGATAATCTTAATATCATTTTATTAACAATTTATATCAAACATAAACTGAGATTGTTAATAAAAAAGTGACATTTGATGTAAATGATAATTTATAACACAATTTTATATTAGAAATAAACTAATTTATTTGGGCAGTAAATTAGATTCGTCATAAATTGTTGAGAAAAACGATTAATTTTTAGTTTATGATTAATGTAATTTGTTACTGAAAAATGTAGATTATAAATCCTTTCTATAGAAGTAAACAGTGTTTCATATTCGTTTAAGTTAAACAATTATTATTTGGATAATGATACTTTGATAACATTTTTTTATAACATTTTAACATCATTTACGTGTCATTCTGTGATTGGTCCATGTTAGTGTTTATAATTATTATTATTGATTGTGGAGTAATTTTGGACCAATCACAGAATGACACGTAGATGATGTTAAAATGTAGTCACAAAATGTTGTCAAAGTATCATTATCCTTATTATTTAGGTTTTATGTCCTAACTTTTTGTTTAAGTTGAATAATTAGTTAAACATATTCTAACTTTCATTTCACTTGCATTAATGTTAAATAATATGCTTCATCAATATTTGTTTGTTTTTTTTATTTGGTCTTGTTTGTTAATAAGTTAATAAAATATGCAATCAAATTTTTTACTTTATAAAACTGCAACCCTTATTAGAATTGTTAACAAACAAATGTTAATAATTTCCATTTTCATATTATATAACTTATAATCAACCAATAATAACAATTTGTAAAACTAATGATATTTATTTAATTTTACGAAAATGTCTTAATTTTTAAGAAAGGGTTTCTTTATTTTAAAATTTTTTAAAATTAATTCGATACTTTCTTAATGAAAAAGACTAAATGAAATGAAAGGAAAAGTTAATAAAACTAAAAGGGTAATTAAGTGTAGATAATATTACATGTTATAATTAATGAAAATAACCGATTTTCGTTTTTAGTTATACTTTTAGATATTATTTTTGGGTTTTAATGCTTTCATTATTGTTTATTTTTCAGTTGTATATAATACTATTTTCTTTTATCTTACAGAGGGCATTGTGTTTGAAGTTTCTTACTTACCTCACTTGCATTTGTTAAGTTTCCCAAACTCTGCAAAAAAAAATGTGTTTATTTTGAGATAGATAAAGAGACATACAGAGAACAGCTTTGTTAGATTTTAATCATTTCGAGAACATTCGATTTTCAATTTTGCGTCTTAATTTTGGGTTCAATTCTGAGGTTCGATATGAAATGAGCGATCACACTCTCATACTTCACTTTTGAAGCACGGTTTGGAACCAATTTTGGGTTCAATTGCTGCCATTTGCTCGGTTCGTATCAAAGTGAGAACTTTGAGGTTTTTTCTGCTACCCATTTGGTTTCTTGTCGGCAAGATTGTTATATTTTTCGTTTCTTATCATTATGCTTACCTGAAAACTTCTCCTGGGCATTCTCTGTTTTTGGTTCTTTGAACCCTTTATTTGTTTTGATCCTTTTGTTTTATGTTATTTACTTTTTTTTTCTTGTTTTGTGATCCATTTTTGTGGTGTACTTTGTTATTCCATACAACTGGATATGCCATCTTGTTTCCGCAATGGGAGACACCTCTGAGGCTTCTGTTTGCCACGATTGGAGAAAACAAGCAGTTGGCCTGTTATTGGATTCCCTGCGCATGTGAAATATTACAAAAAGAAAGAGAGGAGAGTTTGGGAAAGTTTGGTGATTTTGATATCTTCATGTTGACGATTAAACATTTCATTAAGTCTTCATTGTCATCGGCAAGGACATTTGGACTCTTTCAAGTCTTAATGAGCTAAAAACAGGCACCCTACATCATATGTTACACAGAGTTTTTGTAATTTGGAGCATTTTTTCGTTTATAAGTCCAGTGGTTTTCAACTTGATAAAAGAATGAGTTTGATGATTGAAATCTAATCCATTTATGTCTTCAATATTTGAATGATTTGTTGTGCCATTTTCAATTGCAGGTTTCTTACTGGCAACAGAAAATATCACGTTCTTAAACATTCAGAATTTCAGATAAATATTATATGTTGCTGAGACTTGTTGGATAAGAAGAATGCCAGGCATTCCTGTTGCCGCTCGTGCAACCTCGTATATCCTCTTTCAGACAAATACTACCTTTTGTTAACTTTTAATTTTCACAAAAGAATTTTGTAACATAACCAGTAATTATATCTGTTTTTCCCTGCAGAAGCCTCCATGATGCTTGTGAACATTTATCTGCGGAAGAGGAGCTTGCAGCTGAAGAGAGTCTTTCAATTTATTGCAAGCCCGTAGAATTTTACAATATTCTCCAGCGACGTGCCATGAGAAATGTACTCTATCTGATTGGCTAAAATTATCTGCCTTTGTAAAAGTATTGCCATTATTTTTCATTCTTTTAGAATGTGCGAGGCATAGGGCTAACTGTATTCTTGTTGGCTCTGTTTTCATAATTTTTTCTTTCTATGAACTACTGGGGCATGTTGTATTGCTAATAGAATGTCTCTGTTATGCAGCCATTATTTCTTCAGAGATGTTTGCACTACCAGATAAAGGAAAAACACAAGAAAAGGTAAAAGTTTCATATATAGTCTTCCCTGTCCAACTTGCTGTCTTTAACAGAATTACATAATTTTGTCCATTTGTTCATACTTGCGTAATTCAGTTCAAAATTAGAAAGAAATACTTATTTAGTCATTGTTTACTGCTGAAATGAACATCTTGTGGTTGTGTTTAATAACACGTGTGAAACTTGTGAATGGAGAAAGAATAAACGGGTATTTGCTTGGTACTATAATAAAATATGGCAACTTAGGTCTTTGCATGAAGAAGATGAACGGACTTAATTGAATGAACAAGTTTCTACATGTACACTAAGATTTTTGGCTTTTTAATGATTCTAAAACGAATTAAGATTAGGATTATCAAATCAAGTAGTTCTTGCAGATTTATGGAATCTGGCCTCAACAATGTATTTAGTAAACTTTTTCCTTTTGCCTTAGTGAATTTCTTATTTCTGCTTTTAAGATAAAAGATAAATCTAGTCCTGTTTGAGACTGTGATAATTAATTTTATGTCATCCTTGCAATCTCTTTTCTTTCTGTACGCTGGAGTCTGTTTATTCTTACATATAAGCTCAAACTTTCTGTAATTTCTAGTGATTTCATGTGAGACATTGTTTCAGTCTGTTTTATCTGAAAATAATTTAGTAATATATAATGTATACAAATATTGGTTCTAATATGCTAATGAGATATGATATTTGCATATTTAGAATACAAATGACAGTTTCCTTGATGCGGACTATTACGGAAAGTCAAAATGTGTTTCCCATGTCTATATGTCTCGCAAGGCGGGTTTCTGATCATGGATCTTCAAGGGTAGGAACCCTGCTTCTGATAAGTTGATTCAATTACGATTCCTTAGTGTAAAATGCAGTATATCTAATAGTTATACAATGACTTTTGTTTTATTCACCAAAAACAAAAAAAAAGCAATCTGCCATGTATCGAATCGGTCGAATGTTCATCTTTCGAAACTCCCCTGGAATTGATTTAAATACTCAAGTCCAAGCAAATTTTACTCTTCCTGAAGTCAACAAGTTAGCTGATGAAGCTAGATCTTGCTCACTTGATATCTTGTTTGTCAGCACTGCCACTGGTATGTATATGCATGTGTTTTTCAACTGTGATGAAAATATCTATAAATTTTTCTGTGTTCCTTATTATGACTATTTACTTGCAGTGAAAAACTCGAATTTATCATCTGGAGTCAATTCAAACTCCATGCCTTCGGATACAAATCATCTAGCTTTTTTTGAATGTGAGCTGTGCTTTAATTGCTAATTACTGACAAAAAGATAGCTTTGATCTCCTTGTTACGTTGTTATTTGAACCCCCTCTTGTTTTTTAAATATATTTACCTTGATGGGTATTGGCTCTGATGCTTCTTCTAGTTGGTCTCCTCAAACCCTTTACATTGCTTGTAAAGGCCCCTCAAACGGAGTCCAGTTGGTGTACTGAAGCACATCTCATGCTTAATTGAAGTACTTCTAATTTACACTTCTGTATGCTTTTCTCTATTGTGTTTGACGTCAGGTTGTTGGATGGTTGATCCTATTCTATATATGTCCTTTCACAATGAATTTGTCATATAAAATATTTATAATAAAAAAAGAGAAAAGGAGTTCCCTAAAATATCTTTGAATATAAATATCTAGTGCTACCCAAACCACAGTTGTCAGATTGGTAATCATATCAAGAATTGTTTGTCCTGATTAATCCAATTTTGAATCGTGGACTGTGAATCATAAGATATCATGCATAAAGGGTCCAAGGTTTCTTAAACATATAAAACACTGCAATGAAAGACTGTCAAGGAAGAATTCTCGACCCTTAATGAAGGTTTAATTAATTGTGAACTAATTCTAGGCGGTTCATTGACAGCTATAAAATTATATGCTTCTCCCTCTTGTAAATGCAGGTTGGGGAGGCGATGTGTGATCTTGTATAATCATTGTTTCCTCTTTCTAACTTTCAAACATGGTAGTAGAGCATGTGAGCAACCAAATGGTCAGAGATCCGATCTCTGCCATCTCATTCATAGTCAAACTATAATTTTGGTTCTTGACACCAAATTTTTACTGAGTTGCACCAGAAAATCAAAGCAAGGACGAGTCAGTTCTTGACAATATTATTAGTATCAACCTTGATTTTTGTTGTGAACCAATAACCTTTAGTTTTGTTACGACCCAATGAAATGACTTGCTGTCAATTATACTACCTAGCAATTAAGGAATTTTGAAAGTCATAAGATGGAATGTCTAGTGATTTCTGATATTTTTAAGTCTATTTGGCCATTAACATTATACTATTTAGGCAGTGAAGGGAAAAAAAGAAAAATTCTAAATAATTTAAATATTTTATTGATATTGTGTGTGGATAACTTGATACCAAATACAGGCCCTATGGCCGTATTTAATATAGTAGCAATTAGGTCAAGTACTACCCTGGTGTCAATAAGATAAGCCAAAGCCCACAAATATAGTATGACAACAAACCACATGGTTCATACAGTCTTCGATATGTGCTATGGTACATGTATGTAGTACTCAACCTTATGAAGTATTGTCATGTAGGGTGTATGCATAGTTGATAGGCTAAAAATGGCTACATAACCTTAATATTTTGAGAGGTTACTGTTGCTAATATGATTTCTTCCCTTCTAATCATTAGGAGACCTCTCAGGAGTCAAATCTTAACAATTATTATCATTAGTATAATAAATACCATCCAATAGGCTGAGAAGTTGGGGGTTAAATCGATAATGAAGGCACTCTCTTCTCGAAATTTGAAGAGCTTAACAATCCCATCCCATCCCATCGAAAGCCAATAATGCATAATTCCTAATCAAGGTCTAATCCAACAAGCTTGTCACTCTAGTAAAGCTCAAACCAACGGGTATTGTGATGGTTTTCATTACCATCCAAGAATAGGAGCACCTTGTCGTTGACCTTGACATCCTCCTTCCACACCTTCAGGAACACATCAATCACTAACTGCGTGCAATAGTTTGCACCCTTTTTCCTGTCAGTTTCCTTGACTTCCTGATGAACCTAACACATGCTTGTTAAGAATTGGTGATAACCAATTTGTGAAAGTACCACAAATTGGTATGCAAGTACCAATTTGCGATTCGTAGAGGGTGATGAGTGTATTATGTTTCTATGCTACTAGCACCTTATTAAATGCAGAAATAAATTAGGAACCATTAGAATATGAAATAACAACGAGGACTACTTTTTTCAATTGGATGGATGGAATAGTTCATTCCACAATATATTCTAATTATCACGGAAGATTCTGAAAACTTAAATATTCAATTGTACAATAAAGGATGATATGAAATATTTTATAGATATTTTAGACTTCTCTTTATGCGTCATTTTACTAAGCTTAAGATTGTTACAAACATGTACTTAAATAAAATAGTATATGAAGTTGGCTCAACAAACCTCCTGGGTAAACTATGGAGAGATGGCGGAGAAATTGGAGGGATGAACATTATTTAAAAGATAACATAGAAAGATAGGTGAAATAATCATTGTTGTGAAGATTTGGTCATATTTCCTGGCATGTGATTATACTCTAAAATAACTAAAACTTCTCCAAATGCTTCAAACAATAAAAAAGCAACCTAGTGAAGATTTTGTCAATTATTGAGTACTTGTTGGGCTGCCTGCTTCACTTAAAGCTTATAGGTTTTAAGATAGAATTATTAGAGCCTATAAACTATTTTTGTTGCTTTTGTGGTTTTAACATGGAATCTAGCATGTAACAGATGGATATTATTATTGACCTCAACTAGTGGGGTGTGGTTTATATATTTGTTGGACAACTTTACTTAATTAGATTTAAGATGGAATCTAACATAGGGGGTAAGAATCATACTTTTGGTATGCCCGTCTTTTCAATCTCACTCTTAATGTTATGCCATATTCGAGAAATGAACAGTTAAAAAAGCAGCCTAGTGCTCAAGGATCCTACAAAGTGGGGTATATGGAGGCAAATTGGGTGTGGTTTATACATTAGTTAACAATACTTGATATCAGTTAGTTTTAAGTGGAATATAACAGTGTAAGAAGCGTCAACTTGGTATGGGCCATTCTTTTCAATCACACTCTTAATGCTATGCCAGCAATGGAAAATGAGCAGTTAAAAAGGCAACCCAGTGTAGAAGGCTCCTAAAGTGGGGTCTAAGAGGGGTAGGTGTATGCAACCTCTATTCCTCTATGAAGCAAAGAGTTTTTTTTGGAGATTCGAACCTGTGATCTCCACATCTGGAGGTAACAAAGTTATCATGTAATGAAACTTTCCCTCCTTGCATTTATAATACCTGAAAAGGGAATAAATTCAGCAAGGAAGGAGATCTGATAAGAACATATGGAAAAAAAAAGAAAAAATCACAAAGCAGAACACATTATTCAATCTTAAAAGTTAACTCATTGGGGTAGAATTGCCCAAGTATTACAAGGACTATTTTGCCCATATTCTTAGCTGTTGGGGAACATTTTAATAAGAACTATGGAGACAAGGCATTGTTGTAGTGGAGTTAGGTATTTTTGTGAACTAAGGTAATGCCAAAGGATCCCCAATGCCAAAGCCAGCTACTTCTTATGCAGAGGTTCGGGGGAGGGTCATTGTATGCAGTCTTATCCTTGCATTCATAATATCTGAAAAAGGAAAGAAATTTGGTAAGGACGGATATTTCGTTAGAACATACAAAGAAAAAAAAAAGACAACAAAGCAAAACATATTAGTCAATCTCAAGAGTTAACTCTTTGGGGGAATTGCTTATGTTATATAAGGACTATTTTACCATATGCCTAGCTGGTGGGGAACATTTTAACAATAACAATGGAGATAAGGCATTGTTGTATGGAGTTACATATTTTTTTGAACTGGGTGACATAATGGTGACAGGAAGATGGTGTTGTCATTCTGATATCATGTTGTATTGGATTTAGGGAGTGAACTCTGAAAGTAGGAAAGTAAATAACAAAGAATAAATTATTAGATTGATATGCTGTTTTGACAATGTTATACAAAATACTGATCTAGCTCGTATTTGTACTAATAACTAGACCAAGACTGGGATGGTATTACAATCCCACTAATACAATAAAACTTGAACACTCCCTCTTTAAATAAGATGAAAATTTGGGAAACATAATCAATAGTCCTAGGATTAATTTGTTACCGTTACCTAATTGATTCTTTTGTATTTTCTACAAATTGTGACATATTCTAAAATAGTCAAATATGCAATAAACTTTATGACGTATTTTATAGGTATTCTAGCTCTAACCATGGATTAATTTTTCCAAATGATTTTTTGATGCATGCTGGAATTCCTTTTTCAATTTTCTTCATTCTGTGGTTGACAGCTGGAGAGTACTGCCTTTGGGGGAAAGTGTCTTTAGAATCACTTTATATGGCTTGGGATTGTTTTCCGAATTTTCGTTTGGGACAGCGAGCAGAGATTATGTCAACTGTTGATTTGCTTCCATGTATTCTGAAGGTACAATGATGAACACAACTTTTTTGAGTAGAAAACACTGTCATTACTCTGCATCCTTTTGCGTTATTTAATGTTATGCTATGCATGAACACTTTATTTTTGTTCTAATAATCCATTTAAACTACTATTATGAATTTTGGTAGATGTACTAGTTCACAACTTCCTTTTATGATGCAGTCAGATTTTAAAAACGACTACACAAGAGTGTCTATTCAAGTTCCTTCTAATTTCGAGAATATGGTCAGTTCTTGCTTTAAAGTCATTTCCTACTGTGGCAAGAAATTCACACAAACCTCAAAATAGTTAGATATAAATGAAGATTTTGTTTTAACTTCCGTTTGTCTTATATCTTCTTTGGATTTCTAAAGAGTGCATCAAAACAAGTACAAATCACAATTTCTGCGGAAGAGTTTGGGGCCAAAGAAAAATCTCCCTGTATTTCATACACAGGCAGTGAAGTACCGTCCTCATCATTGTCTCACTTGATTGGGTAAATTTTATTTTCTCATCTGAATCTATTAGCAATTCAATCATTAAAGTTGGAAAGCTTGTGATTTCTCTGTTTCTATTAACGTTTTCTTATAAAATTAAAAAAGATAAATAGTGACTTGGATATTGTTGCATATTGGAATTAGCAATTTATTGTAAGTTCTTGGCATCTAGCTTATGTCTTTGGCTCCATCCACAATTTAATGGATGCAGCCTTGGGGTCCTTCCGTGCTTAGCCAACCTTTTGCAAGGTTATTTCCCTTAGCCACCCTCTATCCAGCAATTTCCTTTGGCACCTGCATACTACTTGTGGTACCCATCCCACCATTAATCAGTTCCCTAACTCTCGAGCAACACCTCATGTTACACCTTATGCTGAGAACGTTGAATAATATATCCCAATGAATGTTTGGATCAAGTTAAAGTTAGCAATGCAAATGATTACACCTAAAATCCACGGGTTCCTTTACTTTTCATTCTTCGTCTTTTTGTACTGTATCAGTGGTTTAGCACCTTACCGGTCAGTTTCTTCCCAAAGTTTCAAATCTGGGAGACAAATGTGATGTCTATATTACTATCTTGCAATTATCACTGATTGAGGTGCATCCAAGAAGGAAGCTGACAAAGTTGAGCGCAGCAGTGGATGCTCATGAGTCTGTAAGTTGTTGGAATCTTGATATGGCAGTAGTTGTTGCTGCAGTTATCAGTCTTGGTTTCTTTCAATAAAGCTTATTGAGAAACAACATTTTTTTGTCAAGGTTGGGTCTCCCTTAATCTGGACTTTTTGCTCTTTCCGATTGAAGCTCATAGTTAAGGTTTTCCAATTAACCCGAACCAAGTTACCCCAAGAATTAAATCTACTCCTCCTAGTTCAAACAAATAAAACATTTCTTCCACCACATGATGCTCTAGCTGTACGACTATGTTGCGACAACATCTACTAGTGTGCTTCTGATGACCATCTCCCAAATAGACCTTGTATGGTGGTGTTGCTTCCACTGGCAGATCTAGATTAGCCACCAGATCCGCTGAAATAAAATCGTGGCTTGCTCCATTATCATTTAAGATCAAAACACTTAGAATTGAGAGAGAAACTGAAAATATTATTATTATTATTGTTCACTTGACCCTAATACACATACTACCCTATTTAAGAGATAGTAGATCAACATAAAAAAAAAAAGAAAAACATAAGGCTCCTAAAAAGCCCACTAGAAAATACATTATATTTCAACACTGTCCCTCAAGCTGGAGCATATAGATCATATGCACCAAGCTTGGAACATATAAATTGAATTCTAGGTCCCCTTAGAGATTTGGTCAGAATGTCTCCGAGTTGTTCATTAGAGTTGACAAACTCAGTAACAAGTTCCTTGGACAACAACTTCTCTCTAATAAAAAGACAATCAATTTCTATGTGTTTTGTTCTCTCATGAAACACTGGATCGAGGCAATATGAAGGGCTGCTTGGTTGTCATAGTACAGTTTCAACGGCTCATTTTTACAAAATTTCAATTCTTGAAGAAGTTGTCTGATCCACACAAGTTCGCATATAGTTAAGGTCATAGATCGATATTCAGCTTCAGCACTAGGTCGAGCAACAACACTTTGTTTCTTACTTTTCCAAGATACAAGGTTCCCTCCAAGTAAAACACAATATCCTGTAGTAGATCTTCGATTAATTGGAGAACCAGCCCAATCTGCATCACAATATCCTTCGATCCGAGTTCTTCCCTTGTTCTCATACAACAATCCCTGTTCTGGGTTTCCTTTTACGTATCTGAGAATGCGAATCACTGCATTCCAATGGTCAACATGTGGATTTTGCATAAATTGACTCACAACTCCCATTGGATAAGAAAGATTAGGTCTTGTTATTGTAAGATAGATGAGTTTTCCAACCAACCTTCTATATCTCTCTGGGTTTGAGAAAGGTTCACCTTGATCTCATTAACTTTTGATTTGAGTCCATAGGACTATCAATGGGCTTGCATTTTGTCAGGCCTGTTTCCTCTAAAATATCAAGAGCATATTTCCTTTGTGAAATGATGACACCTTCTTTTGACTATGCCACTTCAATACCAAGAAAATATTTTAGACGACCTAGATCTTTAGTCTGAAAGTGGTTGAACAAATGATTCTTTAATTGAGTGGTTCTCGTGACGTAATTCCCTGTAATAACAATATCATCAACATACACCACGAGATAAACACATTTGTCAGGAGAAGAATGACCATAAAACATTGAGTGATCCGCCTCACATCGTTTCAATCCAAAATTTTGCACAACCCGACTAAATTTACCAAACCAAGCACGAGGTGATTGTTTCAAGCCATAGAGGGAACGACGTAATTTACAAACTAACCCAGACTCCCCCTGAGCAACAAACCCAAGAGGTTGCTCCATGTATATCTCCTCTTCTAGATCACCATGAAGAAAGGCATTTTTAATGTCCAACTGGTAAAGTGGCCAGTGACGAATGGCAGGCATAGCAAGTAAAATACGAACTGTACTGGTTTTAGCCACAGGAGAAAAAGTATCACAATAATCAATGCCATAAACTTGAGTATATCCCTTAGCTACTAGACGAGCTTTTAGACGATCAATTTCACCAGTAGGACCAACCTTAATAGCATAAACCCATCGGCAGCCAACAGGCTTCTTACCAGGAGGAAGAGGAACAAGGTCCCAAGTACCATTGTGGTCAAGGGCCTGCATTTCATCAATCATGGCTTGACGCCATCCAGGATGATCAAGTGCCTCATAAATATTATTAGGAGTCTTAAGGGAGGATAAGGAAGAAACAAAAGAGAAATAGGTAGAAGACAAACGATGATAACTCAAAAAATTATAAACAGGATATGGATTACGAGTAGAACGAATACCTTTTCGAAGGGCAATGGGCAAATTATCATCTGAGTCAGTAGAAGACGAGGAGGATGAAGGATCCATGGTCTGGTGAGCTGATGGCGAGGAGATTGAGTCTAGAGGATCTTCATTGTTGAGCTTGAGATTGTCTCCGACGCTGTGATAGTGAAAAGAGGTGGAGGAACAATGTCATTCACATTGAGTTTGAGGTATTAGAAGCAGGAATAACCAAGGATCACACGATGGTAGAGGAAAATTTGTTGAACAAAAATGAAACGATCCTCCACAGAGGACGAGAAAAACGGTTGTATCCTCAAAGAATGTGACATCAGCAGACATATAATATCTCTTGGTGGGAGGAGCGGGAGGGAGAATAAATTTATACCCTTTCTGAAGACGAGAATATCCCAAGAAGACACACTTAATAGCCTTTGCGGATAGCTTATCAAGACCGTGGAGAAACATTATGGACAAAACATGTACACCCAAATACATGTGGGGAGATATGATATAGAGTGTTCATTTGGAAAAAAATGACAGAATGAGGAATTTATTTCAAGAGAGAAAGAAGGCATCCTATTGATTAGAAAACAGGCAGTGTGAGGACTGCATCGCCCCAGTGATGTTACAGGAATATTAGTATTAATATCAAGGAAGTGCAGTTCAATGAGGATGTTCTATTCTTCTCTTGCAATACCATTTTGTTGTGGAGTGTGAGGACATGTTGAATGATGTAAAATTCCTTGGGAAGATAAAAATGAAGAAAACGCTTGAAGAAAAATATTCTTAGCATATACACTACGAAAGGATTTAATTGTCTTCCCAAATTGGTTCTTAATTCATTAATAAAGGACACAAATATGGACAAAAGTTCAGATCTCTCTTTCATTAAATAAACCCAAGTACATCGAGAGAATTCATCAATGAAGGTTACAAAATAATTAAAACCAAAAGAAAGTGTAACAGACTATGGTCCCAAATTATCAGAGGTGAATAGTTGAGAGAAGAAAGGAGAATTACATAGTGTCTCAAACTTTTTAGGATGAGAAGATCTAACATGTTTTCCTAATTGACATGACTCACAAATCTAAGACTTGAATTTCTTGAGACTTGGAACCATCATCTTCAAACTTGGATAAATTGGATGGCCCAACCGATCATGCAAAAGTTTTGGAAATTAAGTGGTAAACAGGGAAAATAGAAGAGCTATGTTTCAAAAAAATAAAGTCCTCGAGACTCATTGTCCTTCTCCAATCAGGCGACCCGTACCATGTTCTTGTATAACAAAGGAATTAGCAGTGAAGGTTACAGGAACAATTAAGAAACGATCAATTGGCTCAGGAGATTAAATTGTAAGGACAATGAGGAATATTACAAAACAAAATATTAAATTTAGTGAAGGAGATAAAGGAAAACTCTGCCAAATTCCCTGAGATGCAACTTTGGATCCATGACAATAGTAATTAAAGGTAAGGAATTTTCTGGAGACGGAATAAGGAAAGAAAGAAGAAAATGTACCAGGAGATATGGTCTGAGGCACCTGAGTCAAGGATCCATGGATTGGGACCTTCCACAGATTGAGATATACAGGCAGTTGACACATTGGACATGAAGAGGATTGGTAGGATTAGAAGATTTTCCAGACTTATACTTCAAAAAATTCTTGGTATTCTTCATTTGAAATTTTGGGTTCGAGATCATCAGATTTCGAAACATGAGGGACTTTGTCAGGATATCCATGTAGGCATAACATTTCTATCGAGTATGGCCTATTCTCTTACAATATGTGCACTGAGGACGCATACCACGGCCACCATGTCCTCCTAGGTTGCCTCTGCCTCCTCCTCTTCCTTGTGGTGCTACCATATCTGATGTTTCAATACCACCATTTGAACTTTCGTCTTTAACTAATGAAGGTACCCGAAGAAGTCGAAGTAAACTAAGCTGTCCATTGATGGAATTGATCACAAGCTAACATTTGATCACGAACATGATCAAAATCTGAATGTAGATCTCTTAAAATTAAGACCATATAAAACTTATCAAGCTTCTTGTTTAGGCCTTCTAAAGAATCAGCCACAAAGAAATTCTTCAATTCTTCTACAGCAGCACGGGCCGTTCCTATGTAAGTAACCATATCATGATTGTTTTGTTTGAGGGAAGTCACTCTTTGAGTTGCATCAAAGAGACGTTGCACATCGTTAGCAAAGATATCTTGAGCTTTTCTCCAAAAGGAAGAGCACGATTTGTAAGGTCTTAAAATTTCTAAGACTTCTGGTTCAACAGATTGCCATAGGACAACACATAGTTGAAAATCAAGTTTCTACCATTGAGATTTCTCTTCTTCAGGAACGGTGGAAACATCTTGTTGAAGATGATCATGGTGTCCTTGACCAAGAAACCATAACTCCACGGAAGAAGACCATGATAGATAGTTTTTCCAATTGAGTTTTGCAGAAGTAATGGTTGGAGTAGCAGAGAGAGACGGTGTTCCAAGACCAGCCATTATAAAGCCAAACAAGAAAAGAGGGAAAAAGGTGTGGGAAGAAACCCTAAACGGAGCAACCGTCAACGGAACAGCAAATCAGAGACCACAATACACTCAGGAGACGGAGGCGAAACGAGCGGCAGTGGCGCGGTGAAGATCCGACACGGGAGAGGCGGCGCGTGAAGCCCATGCGCCCGAGAGAGGTTAGAGAGAAACGACGCGTGACGGCGCGTTGATAGAAGGATGAGGCGGCGACCACCAGGGATGGGTCGCGCTCGTCGAGGCGCACCGAACCCTTAACTTCGCTGGAGAAAAGGTAGTGATGGAGACGGCGGACGACGGCGACGGCGGCGGCGGAAGCGACGGTGAACGACGGCGCGGGCAGTGAGCAGTGGTGAACCCTAACCAGCTCTGGATACCATGTGAAAGTTTGAGAGATGGTAAAAATATTATTAATGTGTGTTAAAGTTTCTATTACACATAAAAGTCCTATAAAAGAAACAATGGACCAGTACCTAAAAGCCCAAAACTAAAAGTCCAATTATACAATACAATATATTTCAACAAAGAGAAACTGGATAGTGACCTTATCACTACTTCCTATGTCCCATCTCGGATTTAGTTACCAGATCTGTTCACAAAAGGTCGTCCCACTGGACTATTTCATGATTTCACATGGTAGATATCCATTCACCGGTTTGAGGGGGATTGTTGTTGGTTAGATATTAAATGCAATACTAAAAGTTGTTGGTCAGATATTAAATGTCCTGTTAGAAGGTGTTAAAAGATTCTAGAGATCTCTTGTAATTATTACTTTAGCATTTGAGTTCTCTATATATAGAAATTGATGTACTGTTTTAAATTAATTAACAAAAATAAGAATCTTCTTTTTTTCAAATTAATCTTTTCAAGTCTTGCCTTTGGGATCTAAGAATCTTTTATGTACTGTCCTAAGCTTGACTATATATTTTTGTCAGAATATGTGAATTTATTGCACAATTAATATAGCAATTATGTGTAATCCTGCAATTATGTGTAATCCCTAAAATTAAGGGATTAGGATTAGTAATTATTGGGCAAATTTCCTTTTATTAAGATCAGGTATTATTGGGTAGATATCTCCTGATTTAGAGACTTTATTTAAGGAGATTTTTTACCTTAACTAGACAATAGTTTCTTTCTTTTTAAACACCTATGTATTGTTTCAAAAGCATGAATGAGAGAATAATTAATTCCAGCATTCTACTACTGTTTTACAACAATTTTAGTATCATTGGTGGGCATGCAGATCTGGGTAGCTTTTATGAGTTGTTGTCCATCACTGTTTGTTCTCCTCTGTTGCTTTGTTTAAGAGAATATTTTATACTTATTTTATTGCCAAAAGAAAAAAAAGAATACCTTGTACTCATTTTAAAACAACAAAGAGAAGTAATGACAATGTTGTTTAATTTCTATTAAATAAATCTGGTGCACATTTTAACTACAAGCTATTTCTGTTGTCCAGATTGAGGGAAGGAAATGTCATGTTTAATTACAGGTATCACTTTTTAACTTGTCAATGCTCTTATTCGATTTGTATGAGTTTATTATGATCATGGACTGCCTCTAAAGGGGGTTGTTTTGGTTGATGTGCTTAGGGATTTGAGAACTATTTTTATTTTCTGAACACCATGTTTCCTTTGTTGTTAGAAAAAATTGATTATTCATGTATTATTTTTCTTAATGAGCTTTTTTTTAATTAAAAATATTTCAGGTATTACAATAATAAGTTACAGAGGACAGAAGGTAATGTAAATATTGTTTTGTCTCTCATTTTAAAATGTGATTGCTTTCTTTTCTTTATGGAGTTATTAATGTATTTTTTGTGATCATTTGAAAATTGTTGAAAGAGAGAAAAATAGAGGGTGTAGATATAGAGGGCTATGTAAGGTGATCATAATGAGGGAATAAATGTAATTAAATATGTAGATAAAGAAAAGATCCACAACGCTCTACTTCAAAATGATGAAAGGATATCTATCATTCCTAACATGGTAGTAAGATTTCAGAGTCATTTCATGGGTATCCCATTAGTTAGAACATCCCATACTACGTTTATTTATTATTAAATTGTTTGTATACGGCATGTCAACAGAATGAATGGCAAAAGATATGCAATTGTATATTTATTTGTAATGGTTATTCTCTTAATTAGGATAATTAGTTGTAGTAAATGTATATATGGCAGTTTAGCTTATTTAGTAGGCTGAAAATCAGTTTGACAGATTGTAATCATTTGTATTTATATGAAAATTCTCCAGCAAGAGGGGAGACAGTTTTTTTGGCTCAATCTTCTCTAAGTTTGACATGGTTTTAGTTTAGGTTACGATCTCAAAACCTTGTTTGTGTTTTTTTCAGCCTCGTCCTAGATTCACGATCCTGCTTCACGATCCTGCTTCACGATTCTTCTTGGTTATTTTTTTTCTCGTTTCTTATTTCCCTAGCTCCATGGCTTCCGAAAAATATGATGTCTTATTCGTTCGTCTTAATGAAAAAACTACTCAACTTGGGCATTCCAATTCCAGATCTTTGTCACCTGAAAAGACTTGTGGGGTCATGTTGATGGCAGCACTCCTGCCCCTAACAAAGACCAAAAGACAATTGCTCAAGTCATCGCCTGGATCCTTGGTTTTGTTGATTCGAACATTGTTCTGAATCTTCGCCCTTACAAGATTGCAACCACAATGTGGTCTTACCTGAAGAAAATTTATAGTCAAAATAATGCAGCTCGCCGATTCGAGCTTGAGCACAATATCGCTATATTTAAACAGGATAGTCTCTCCATCTCTGATTTTTACTCTCAATTCATGAATCTTTGGGCTGAATACACTCATATAGTTTATGCAAACTTGCCTTCTGAAGGTCTAAGTTCCGTACAAACAATTCATGAATTTGCGATATGATTTTGAAGGTCTAAGTGCCTTATGAAATTGCGATATGACTTTGAAGGTATCCGGTCCAATCTCATGCATAGAGATCCTGTCCCATCGTTGGATTCATGTCTCAATGATTTGTTATGTGAAGAACAACGTCTTCTTACACAATCCATCATTGAAGAACAAAGATTGTCTACTGTTCCAGTAGCATACGTGGCACAAGGGAAGTCACGCCGCCATGACATGAGTACTATTCATTGTTTTAGTTGCAAGCGATTTGGCCACTATGCTTCAACCTGTCCAAAAAAATTCTGCAACTACTGCAAAAAGGATGGTCATATTATTAAGGAATGCCCAATAAGGCCACCACGACGCCCGCAACAGCCTTTACAACCACAACTGATGCTTCTATTTCCAACAGTTATGCCAATTCAACACTTGTCCATCCAAATGTTATTTATGATGTTCCAACTTTGACCCCTGAAATGGTTCAACAAATGATCATTTCAATTTTTTCTGCTTTGGGATTCTCAGGTAACTCCTCTTCACCATGGTACTTTGATTTTGCGGCTTCCAATCACATGACTAAACAATACTCGATTCCTTACTAATATAAAAAAGTATTTGGGGAATCTCAAGATACATACTACTGGTGGAAATCAATTGCCTATAACAGAAACTGGTGATATTTCTTCATTTCTAACAAATGTCTTTGTTGCTCTTGGTTTCACCAGTAATCTCATTTCTGTTGGTCAATTAGTCGACAATGATTGTCGAGTTCAATTCTCACAATCTGGTTGTCTTGTGCAGGATCAAAACTCGGGGAAGATAATCACGAAGGGGCCTAAAGTTGGACGTCTTTTTCCCATCCATTTCTCGCTGTCCCCAAGTCTTTCTTTGCCTTTAGTCTCTTGTAATTCTGTTATTGTTGATTACCAAGTGTGGCATAAGCACCTTGGGCATCCCAACTCCAATGTACTCCATGACATGCTCAAATATGGTTTTCTTGGAAATAAACACACCCCATCTCTTAATAATATTCATTTTGATTGCATTCCTTGTAAGCTTGGCAAAAGTAAAATTCTACCTTTTCCAACACATCAGTCGCATGAAACACAACCATTTGATATCATCCATAGTGATGTTTGGAGGGTGGCACCAGTTATGTCTCATGCTCATTACAAATATTTTTAACTTTTATTGATGATTATAGTCGTTCACTTGGGTCTATTTTCTGCGCTCAAAAGATGAAGTCTTTTCCACTTTCAAATTCTTTTATGTTTATGTTCAGGCCCATTTCTCCTCCAAAATCAAGATTCTTCGCTCTGATAATGGGGGGAATACACATCACACTTATTTCAGGAATTCTTGCAATCCAATGGCATTTTATCTCAAAGATCATGCCCAGCAACCCCCCAACAAAACAGGGTAGCTAAACGGAAAAATCGCCATTTGCTAGATGTTGTCTGCACTTTTTTGCTGGAGTTGCATGTGCCATCACGATTTTGGTGTGAAGCCCTTTCCACTGCAGTTCATCTTATAAACAGATTGCCATCTCCTTCCATAAGTAATGAATCCCCTTTCACTAGATTATTTTGTCACCCACCCGATTACTCCACTCTTCGTATGTTCGGTTGTGCATGTTATGTTCATCTTCCTCCACAAGAACGCACCAAGCTCACTGCACAATCTGTTGAATGTGCTTTTCTTGGCTATTCTCCTCATCAAAAGGGTTTTCTATGTTATGATCCTAACCTTCATCGGATTCGGGTCTCTCGAAATGTCATTTTTCTTGAAAGTGTATATTTTTTTGCAAACCATCATGACTCGTTCTCTTCTCCAATTTCTATTTTGCCATTGTTTTCTAATTTTTCTATAGGTCAATCATCATCTAGACCTCTATTGACCTATCAAAGGCGAAATACTGCCACTCAACATCACCTAGCACAATCCCATGGGCCCCTTCAAGAAAATTCCTTGGATGCTGATCCAGTACAAACTCCAGAACCAGAACCAGCTCCTTTACAACGCAGTTCACGCATTGGTAAGCCCCCAGAAAGGTATATCTGTTCCATGACAGCAACATTATCATCTATTCCTATTCCTTCTTCTTATAAACAGGCAATGAAGAATGAATGTTGGCAAAAAGCTATTGAAAGTGAACTTCTCACCTTGGAAGAAAATCAAACATGGGATATAGTGCCATGTCCCCCATCTGTTAAACCTTTAGGCAGCAAGTTTGTGTTCTCTATAAAGCTGCGTTCGGATGGCTCCATAGACCGTTACAAGGCGCGACTGGTTGTGCTTGGAAATAAGCAAGAGTATGGCCTAGACTATGACGAGACTTTTTCTCCAGTTGCCATGATGACCACTATGCGCACTATCCTTGCTCTTGCTGCATCCAAATCTTGGCCATTACATCAAATGGATGTCAAAAATGCATTCCTCCGTGGTGACCTTAAGGAGGAAGTTTACATCACACTTCCTGGTGGTATGTTGACCCTCTCCCTGAATACTATTTGCAAATTGAAACGCTCTTTATATGGATTGAAGCAGGCTCCAAGAGTTTGGTTTGAAAAGTTTCGCTCCACTCTTCTTAGTTTTTCTTTCAATCAAAGTCAGTATGATCCATCACTTTTCCTTCAATAGACTTCTAAAGGCATCGTTGTACTTCTTGTTTATGTGGATGACATTGGGGTCACTGGTTCTGATCAAGATGTTATTTCTAGAATCAAACAAATGCTGTATTCAAATTTTCACATGAAAGGGTTAGGCTATCTTAATTATTTCTTGGGTTTAGAGGTGCATTACCATCCTGAAGGCATTTTCGTAAATCAATATAAATATATTCAAGATTTGGTCCAGGTAGCGGGACTCACCAATGCTACCCCTGTTGACACTTCAATGGAAGTTAATGTTAAATATAGAAGACATGAATGAGAGCTTCTTGACGATCCCACTCAATATTGGAAACTAGTTGGTAGTCTCATCTATGTGACTATCACTCATCCTGATATTTCTTTTGATGTACACACTATTAGTAAGTTCATGCAATCTCCACGACACTTCCATTTTTCAGCATTGCAACGTATCATTAAATATCTCCTTGGCACCTCAAGTCGTGGTTTATTTTTTTCTGGTAATTCATCTCTTCAACTCCAAGCTTATAGTGATGCTGATTGGGTTGGCTGTCTAGACACTAGGAGATCAACTACTAGCTGGTGTATGTTCCTAGGGAATGCTCCTATTTCATGGAAATGTAAGAAACAAGATTCAGTCTCAAAGTCATCCATTGAAGTGGAATATCGCGCAATGTCTGCTGCTTGTTCTGAAATAATATGGCTACGTGGTCTTCTTACAGAGCTTGGATTGTCTCAAGCACAACCCACTCCACTGCATGCTGATAACACCAGTGCCATACAGATTGTAGCAAATCCAGTTTACCATGAATGGAAGAAACACATCGAGGTCAATTGTCACTCTAACCGAGAAGCGTATGATCGTAGAGTCATCAATCTACCATATGTCTTAACATATGTTCAAATAGTTGACATTTTCACTATATCGTTGCCACGCCAGCGTCACAATTTTCTACTTGGAAAATTGATGCTTGTAGATTCACGAGCATCAATTTGAGGGGGGATGTCAACATAATGAATGACAAAAGATATGCAATTGTATATTTATTTGTAACGGTTATTCTCTTAATTAGGATAATTAGCTGTAGTAAATGTATATATGGGAGTTTAGCTTATTTAGTAGGCTGAAAATCAGCTTGACAGATTGTAATCATTTGTATTTATATGAAAATTCTCTAGCAAGAGGGGAGAGCCTTTTTTTGGCTCAATCTTCTCTAAGTTGGACACAGCATACTCTACAAGTAGTCACACTCAATAAAATATTTGTATAAAAAAGACTTCTAGGTTATGGTTTTGTATCATATATTATTTAGATGTGACCAATTATAGTTCCTATTTATTGTCACATGCCTAGTTTTGAATGTCTCTGGAATATTGTATCTTACAGTGTTTCTTGGAACATAATGTTTGATTGCAGTCACCGAAGATTTCACTTGTCCATTCTGTTTGGTTAAATGTTCTAGTTTTAAGGTTAAAACTACTTTCTTCTTTTAAATCAATACTTTTCCTATATGATGTTGAAACATGTTTCTAATGCTTCTGACATGATCTTTTCTAGGGTCTAAGATGTCATTTGTCCTCGTCACATGATCTCTTCAACTTTGAATTTTGGGTTAGTTGTCTTTAAATCTCTTGCTGGGATTCTATTCAGTGATGTACTGAACCATCTCTAACCAAGTACATAATTTGTAGGTATCGGATGAGTGTCATGCTGTAAATGTGACTGTGAAGAATGATATCTCGAGATCAGAGGTAAGGATAGTTTCTGCTCAATTACTTTATTCATAAACATATTATATTATATTTAATAATATCTAATTTTTTATGCTTTGTCTATTATAAACTGATGCTTCTTAGATGCCTGTGAAGATTTATCTCATTTGAATTTGTTCTTGGACATTATTGACTATGTGATTTTGGGCCTTATTTATCTCTTATTCATTTTTTTATTCATATAGAAGTTTAATAAAAATGCTGGCTCATTTCCTTGTTATTTTCCCTTTTAAAATCTGATAGGACTCGATCAATTAATTGAGTCCTATGAGATTCACTTTTGAGCTAACAAAATACTAGATTTCAAATAATCCATTTAGGTTACTTTCAGTTTTCCTTTCACATGAGTTTTCCTTTCTGTCATCTTCTCTTAAAAAATTGATACACCAACTTTCTTTTAGATACCTTTGTTTCTAAATTTATCTTACATTTGCGTGCATGCATTTCAACATTTGCTACCATAGTCACTGCCAGCTTATTGCTGTGAGCTAGACCTCCTCTTTCTGTTTGAGAGGCACTCTATGATCTCAAACACTATCTTTTGTTCAGATTGTTGCTGATACTGTTGATCCAAGAGTGCAAACATTTTTCTATTGGTAAGCTATTTTGTCTCTACTATTCTTTTTTGGCTTCCATGACATTTTGAGATTCAGATGGCATACCATGTCTGTATGCAGTGGAAAGCCCCTTAAGCGTAGGACACCAAAGGACCCATCTTCTAAAAATGCAGTAGGCTTAGAGTCTGCCTTTCCTGCAGGAGAGACTGATATTTTGGAGAAGGATGATGGTATGTGTTAAAATTATGATTGTTGCTGGATTGTACAGCTTTCATAAAACTGTTGTTTGGGTGTATGTATCTAGTCTAAGGGTTTGAGTGTTATAGGGTATAACTTTTCCTTCTATTGTATAGTCTTCTCTTTACACACACACACACACAAACACAAACACACATCAGCTGATCAGGACACTCACTGATTTTTTAATCATATCCAAATTCAAGTTGGTATCTAGAGCCATGTTGGCAACAACCACCATGTGTTGCTGCTGGTGTTGTGTCGTCTGACTAAGTCAAGGTTAGCTACACCTCTAGAAGTGATACCCAACCCTGGTGGTTGCATGACCAAAATCTTCACAATGTGGTGGTCCTTGTCAGCCTGTCACCATATGTGTGGGTTCCACACTCAATCTTCCCGGTGTTAGAATCATACAAGACCACTGCCATTCATGTTGTTGAGACCTTATGGGCATGTTTCTGCCTTTATCTTCTATTTCCATGTACTTAGATAACTGATCAAGCCTCTTTCCTCTTGACTTCAGGTTTTTTTCTCTCTCAAATCTGTTTGTGGCTTTATATCTTGAATGACTTGTATATTTCTACTCCTTACCTTTACCTTAACAAAACTCAATTGGAAGAACTACTTATCTTGGAAAAGGAAGTCAATGTTGTTCCATCTTGTTAAGAAGAGGACTTTAAAGTCTAATTCAATCCCACAAAACCGGCTTGTAAGGTGAGGTTTGCACCCACTTATATACTCTAAAGCCTTATCACTAGTCGATGTAGGACTTCCAACACTTCCCCTCACGTCGAGGTATATACATCTCGTGTGTGGGACTAGACATTAACAGGTGGTCCAATAACGATTCGATAGTGGCTGGAATGATATGCCCAACAAACACAAATCTTGTTAGGAAAGGTTTTAAATCATGACTCTGATACCATGTTAAAAAGGAGACTTTAAATCTAACTCAATCCCACAAAACCGGTTGTACGGTGAGGTTTGCACCCGCTTATATACTCTAATGCTTTATCACTAGTCGATGTGGGACTTCTAACATAATTGAAGACAAATCTCACTAGCAGAAACTAAACTTACAATTACTTGTTTTATGACAGTTAGTTGAATAGGATGTCTTAGAAATTAATCATATTTTTAAGACAAGCTTCTTTTTTGGAAGAAGGCACAAAATACTTTTGTTAATTACACTCATCATCTTGTTGATGCTACTCCACTAGCCTCTCTCGTGTAGAACAATTATGATATGATCTCACATATAGAAAAGGCTTGGGCTACAGTAGAAGAACCAAAAGAGATTTCTTGTGGATGATTCATGGGAGGGGATATTAACAAAAAAGCTTGATAAGTTATACATGGTCATAACTTTGAGAAGTCTACACAAAATTTGATCATGTACTTGGATCAAATTTTAGTTGGTGGTGAGATTATTTCAAATGGACATCTTAGTCACTAAATGTCTTCATGTTCCTACCTTGTTAAAAGATGAAAATCTAGTTGAAGTTATTGACACATTAACAATGGTAGCATCATGAGGAAGAGGAGATCATAGCAATCAAAGAGCTCATGGTGGATGTCCTCATTGCACTTACATGGTTTTCTACCCATGTGTCTAAATTTGAAAAAGTAGAGTCTAAGTCCTTTGGTGAGGAGTACCAAGAGTATTTGGGACTTATATTTGAAAAATTTAACCATCACGGTCAATCTTCCTCGATACCAATTGTTTCAACAACTTGTATTTCTCAATTTGTGGAAGGTCAAGGTCCATGGATAATTGACTTAGGTGCCTCTGAACAAATTTCTAGTAATAGCTTTTCATTATCATTTATTGCTTCCAAAATTCTCACCTTCTTACCTGCAGTCAATTGATTCAAAGTTGCATCTCAAGGAATTGGTCAAGTTCCTTTATCTCCTTTAAACCTTAATTTTGTCTTGTACAAACCACCCTGGCCTTATAGTACAGTCTCTCTAAGCCAATTAATTCGCTCTTTGAATTGTTCTGAAATATTTGGTGCTAATTCCTTTGTCATACAAAAACATTGTATGAGTCATCTAATTGGAAAATGACATGAATCACGAAGACCCAACATACTTTTTTCCTTTTCTTCCTCACTAGTGACTTTATGTGTACCGTAAGTTTAAATCTACTAGTGACTTGCTCCTTGGCTGCTGAGGGCCTGGCACAACCCTCCTTTACCTGGGCTTGGGACTGGCTATGATGCCATAGACAGTGTTTAATAATTAATCAATAATTAAGAAAACTTTGATATGTTTGATGTTTACATTGAATATAATTGTGATATAAATTAAAATATAAAGTATTAAAATTACTTAATATAAATTTTAATTATTAATTACTACGTAAAATAATTTACTGTCATATATAATTAAAAAGTTATGACAATATAACTAAGATTTAATTACATTTTTAATAAAATTATAAAATAAAAGTACATGGAAGGAAAATCATATGATTTTTATATCACAAAAGGATTGTCATAATGTGCTAAAATAAATTTAAATGTCAATTTTTCCCTTTATTTACTCAATTTATTTGCAAGTACTAAATTATGTTAATAATCTTAAATTGAAAATTCAAACAAGTGTAATAACTTTATATAATTGTAAAAGGTTGTTAGAATTAATTGTATTTGTATTTTTTAAATGTCATTTTGAAGAGTTTTAGAATATTTTCATTATAGTTCTTTTAAACATAAAAAAAAATAAGTCAAACTTATTCCTGTGATAGTTAAAAGTTGGCTTAATACCAATTTTGGTCCGTGGTGTTAGAAACGCTAACCGGCATAATGTTCAACTTACCCAATAGTGAATGACCTGTCCAGTTTTTCATTAAGTAGCAAGGGGTTGAAATTCGTCATCTAATTAATTTTCCTTTTGTTAGTTCAAATTCCAAAGAGTACTTTACCCTTTACCATAATCAGAGTTTTAGAAACTCATGGCTTCCATTTCCGGGACTTCCTTTTTCTCGAACAAACCCAGCAATGTGGGTTCCTCGTCGCGCAAGGAGACTCCCTTCTCCTTCCTCTCCTCTGATTCTGGGTTGGCATCATTCTTTCCTTCTTCTTATTTTGGTTCTGTTCGTATTAGGGCTCTGAATTGAGATTCTATTTTTGTGATTTTGATCTTGCGATGTTGGGTTTCCTTCCTTGGATTGGGTTTTTGTTTTTGTTTTCTGCAGGTTGGTGGCGCAATGGTTAGGGTTCTTCGTGAGATTGTGATTTGGAGATTTTAGGGTTTTCGTTTGGGATTGAGGGTTCTGATTTGGGAATTTCTTGTGTCTTGTTTCTCCTCTGTAGATTGTTAATGTGATTTGGGGGTTAGGGTTTTCGAATTGTGGTTTTGTTTTTTGATTTCACGTGTTTGGATTATCTGCAATTGTATTCTGATCTTGCACTTTTGGGGATTTTGGAATTTGTGATCTTGCGTTTTTAGGTTCTTTGGGTCGTGTTTTAGAAATAAAGCTTTGATGGTGGATTGCTTGTAACCTAATTGTAATTTCCTTTAACCTTAACTTTAACTTTTCCACGTCAATAATTTTAACTTTTAACATTTACATGTCAATTGACATGAGCTTGTCATGTAATGAATAATTGGACAAGTCATTCATCATTGGATAAGGTGGACATTTCAGTGTTTTTAACTCCGTCAGCCAAAAGGACTAACTTGAACCATTTTTACAAAACATGAGAACAACTCAAAAATAGGAGGACCACTTTGAACACAACTAACAAAATTAGGGACTAAAATTTGTATTAAGCCTTAAAAATTTAATTAGTAAACTGGGCAACGCATGAAACAGAGCATCTTTATCTAATCTAGACTTCAACTTTTGCAATAAGGCTCTGTTTTGTCATACTTATGTCAAAAGGCTTATTAATTGCTTTTCTTAATACTGTCATCGTTTTATTTTTTCATATTTCTTGAGTTGTGGTTCTTGCTCCAAGATGTTGCATTAGTGCTGCCAGCATGTTATTGTGTTAGGAGTATGTTACATGCTGCTGTGACATTGCAGGAATTTCTGCCACAATTATTAGATCACATCCTGATCGAGACTCTGTCCAGTCAATATCAGACTGTGATCAATCAGTGCTCCAGTTTGCCAAGACTAGGAAGTTGTCAATTGAGTGTTCTGACTCACGAAAGTATGTTCTACAGGCTTGTTTCTCTATCCTTGGAAAACAAAACGGGGGATATTACATTAGGAAACTTTTTGATGCACAATTACTAGGGAAATCCTGTAAATGCAATGCTAAAATGTTCCTGATATGAAAGCCTTCCAAACAAAAATGTTTTTTATGTTGCAAATTATAATGATATTTTTATGTAATAATTTACCCACATATTATAGATACAGATGAAACCTAATAGATCAATGAGGCTAAATGGTTAAACTAAATTTCTTGTTCAATGTTAGAATTATTTTGATATGTTAAATGATATGACTAATTTATGTGTTATTTTAGCTTATTAAAATGTCACATTTGGGATGCTTATATGTGACAGGTTTATGATTTTATTATTTGGGTATACTTTTTATGTATTTGTGTTAATTAATAAGCAAGATCTTGATTTTTACTACTTTATTAATCCAACAACATTTGTAGGTTGAATGTATTTGATATCATTATATAGTCATTTCATTTTTACGATGTATTTAATGTTCTCCATATGTGATTCCTGAACTGGTTTAGAGATGAATGTGACTTTATTGAAATTTATAGACTTTCCTCGCATTGGTAGTGTCGGAATATTTGATCAAATGTCCCATTTACTAATGATTAACATTTTTTTATATATGTAATCATCTGACATTATTTTGAAAACATTTCAGCAGTGCCCTATTAAGGAAACGACAGTTTTTTCATTCTCACAAAGCTCAGGTAATCCTCTATTTTTATATTATGATTATGTACTTTTTTATCCCTGTTTCCTGCGATTTAATTGCTGTAAAATATTGGACTTAGCTTAAAAAGGGGAGTTTATGACCTGACTCTTCTCTTTGAATATATGATCTGACTCTTCTACTGGGGAGTTTAGAAACGAGAGTGTTTTATCATTATTATTATTATTATTATTATTATTATTATTATATATATATATATATATATATATATATATATTGGAGAGAGCATCTCGGAGGAGGATATGAAGTCATCTAAAATATGAAATAGGAAAGAAAACAGCTAGTCGAGTTGGCTCAAATACGTAGCAAAATTCTCATTTCTTTCTATTACAGAAATAAATTCCCATAAAACATCTGTGAACGTAATAATAGGAAAAGACCATAAACACAATTTTATACTTACTAGGGGTGTAAAAACTGCTTAGATGTGATTTCAGATTTCAACATTTTAAAATTTGGTTAGCTTTGCTTGACTTTCTGAAACACATCTAAACTTGACATTATCCACTAAAATAATAAAATTGAAGGTTTTCATTCTGCTGAACGGTGAGCTGCTTAAATCAGTGGTGGTTGAATTTGTACAAACTAGAAAAGTATCATAAATTGGGTACCGGTTCTTTGTGAACGTGATTTTTGTTATGATATTATTACAACACAACAACGATGCATAATTATGAGCTCTATTGAATTATTTGTATTGATAGTTATACAGACTTGCTTGGTGTATTAAAATTACTACTGCTAGGTTATTAGTTTGTGCTTTGGTTGTGTTTGTTAGAAGGTCTCCGATTTTGTGCTCTCTTTTGGGGGCTTCCTCAATTACATCCTAGATCGTGTTAAATGCTGTATCATGTAGATAAATGACGTAAGTAGTGTTTATAAGGGTTGAGTAATTCTCATCTTATAATTAGGTCGTTGGATTGAGTTAGATTCTAATGTCAGATTCTGGCGGTGATGACTCTATGGTGGCTTGATGCTTGAACAACATTTTTTGCTGTTGAAAGAATTTATCGTTTCTTAACAAAGTTTCTGTTCCAGTATTATTTGGATTAATTATATTTAGTTTTTATTTCTATCGGCATCATATGCTCAATAGATTTGTTGCTGATTTTTCTTTACTTTTGCTTAAAGCCAATGACAATTGAACAAGTTCTATCAGATAAAGACAGCGAAGATGAAGTCGATGACGATGTTGCTGATTTTGAAGATAGAAGGGTATGCTTATATAATTGTTTTTTTATTTTCTAAAATTATTGTAGAGTGATTTCTATCAGTTATTCATTGCTAGGAGCCAAAGAGCGATTTCTAGTTTTTTTTTGAAAACTTATCTGCATGACTTTATAAGAGAGGCTTATTCCACAGACATGATCGTACTTCCAAATTGTTCAAACTTCAAATACCCGAGCTTTAGCCAGACTTTTCTAAAACCCAACAAATTATTTGATTTGTAAAGAAATTGATCCACAATTCAATGATTAAACCGTGACCAAATTGGAGTCAATTGTAAGGGAAGCTACTTTTCAAACGTGGATGAGAGTGGTTTGATACCATATACTTTATAAGTTACTGAAACTGATTGTAACATACTAGCTGATCTTATATTTGTTTATATTAATACAATGTTTACATAGAGACACATACTCTTTACTTTGGACGTATTACAACTATAAAGTTTCTAACTTAAGACTTTCCCAATTACGTAGCACTACAAATGTACCCTTAACCTCTTTGTTCTTTCTCATAAACTTTATTTGTAAGACCAACTGCCATATAGGCCCAGCAGAGATCAGCATAGGTTTGGGTTGAGCCATGGCCATGGATTATGAAATATCTCTTGCAGCTCTTACTATTTGTCAAAATATATTTTAGGAAATTTTAGATATTGCTCCCATGTATTTAATTTGTTATATTATCTGTATCTTGCTATTATTACTAGAATAACAATCCCACAATTTCAGGGATTTGTTCCGTAGAATAGGCTATTCATTCAATATACTCTTGTAAATATATATATCAATACATGTAAGGAGACAAATAATAAGAAATATATTCTTTTTCTTAAATTTAAGATTATTATTGGTATTGATACCATGCAGATGCTTGAAAATTTTGTTGACGTGAGCAAGGATGAGAAGAATTTCATGCACATGTGGAACTCGTTTGTTCGGAAGCATCGGTAAACCCTTGTTTTTTTACTGAAGTCATCACCGAATATATCTTTGAGCTCAAACTGATATGCATTTTTAGTTCGTTGATTGAATTATTTTGTTGTGGTGGCAGTGTGATTGCAGATGGTCACATTTCATGGGCATGTGAGGCTTTCTCGAAATTGCATGCAGCTGAGTTTGTTCGGTCACGCTCACTGGCCGGGTAACTACTTTCTCTCGTCTTTAAATAAATGCTCTCTCCAAAGTTACTTCATTGTTTTGCACGTTTTATTGATTTATGTACATAAATCTGATTATATTTGTAAAATTCTTTTTTTTCTTTTGCAGTTGTTGGAGAATATTTATGGTCAAGCTGTACAATCATGGTCTGCTGGATGCTCGAACCATGAATGACTGTAATGTTATTCTTGAGCAACAGCATAAGCAGAATTCAGACCCCATTAGCTAAAAAGAAAACCCACTTTTTTACCCTTAATTGAAGAAAGTGATGGCAAAGAGCAAGGAGGTTTTGGTTTTGGTTTTGGTTTTTCCCCTTCACAAAGTACAAACAAATAGTAAGGGTTTCAATTTTACATTTTGCTATTGTGGGCTGTACTATTTATTATGTTCGTCACAGGGATAAAATTTTGCATCCTTCGGAAAAGTTTAACTGCATTGACATCATTATTCCTTAAATTTAATTGTTTGCAAGACTCTGTTACCCATGCCTATTTTTGAAGTGTCAATTTTAATTAAAATTTATGATGAAGAAAGATTAATAGGAAAAGAGATGTAATTAGCAATGCCCAGAAAAATACTTGGTCACCTCAACGTATGTTCACTGAATTCTTCCTGCACCGCCATACTCTTCATTCTGTACTCCCCATCAATATTATAATTCCTATTTTTCCCTCTTTTTAGATTGTACATTCTGGAAGTTAAAATTGATTTTTAGATTATGCAATCGGAAAGTCAATACTGACTTCTAAATTATACAATTTGGATCAAAAGTAGTTTATTTTTAAAAATAAAAAACATTCGGGTTAAAATATTTTGGAGATTATTTTTGACTTATATTGATTGGGTGCGGGAAGAAAATATGGAGGTGTATAAAGAATTTGCACAATTGTTGGATTCGAATATTGCAGTTTTGTATGTAGCTAATAGCACACTTCCCTTATCAAACCTTATAAAGATTCTAAGCGTATATTATGGATTCTGGAAATAGCTTATAAATTTGAAAATCATCAAGTTCAAATTACAATTTTGTAAGCTACAATCCTGAAATTCTTCACTTAGAGGTGTTTCATTCCTTATAAAATTTGGAATGCAATAAATAATAATTTTTTTTATTGTACAATATGTAGTTACGCTGAATTAAATAGTTTTCTATGTATATTTCGAAATATTTTCGAATTGAACGATAAAAAAAAAGTTTGAAAGTCACGTTTGTTATAAAAAAGAAAATGTGAAGTGGTATTTTGAAATAAGTGGTGGTGGAGGAAGAAATAATACAAGTGGAGAAAACAACATTACTATCTTTGTTTCTCGTCCAAATTTTACTCACTAATCTCTAACCGTATAAAAAAGACAAATCAATCTATTCTTAAAAAACTCGGGACAAATAACGTTATTCCATCTATTTATATTCAATTTCAAGATTACTCCATTATTTGATTTAGTAACTAAATATTTTATATAAAGTATTTTCAACTATGATCTGAATCCAAATTTATAAAAATGACAACTACAATTTTGTTTTACCATAAATACAAAATAACTTATTTAATAATCTTCTTCCATCCCTTTTTACATTTTGAGACAGTTTCTTAATAGTGCAAAATGATTATTTTGTATTTGTGGTGACTTGTTAATTTGTCAAATTTTTTAGTTGGATTAAGTTTTTAATCTGATAGTCTATTTTAATTTATTTCGTCTAATCTATCAAATTTACAAGCTAAAGAAAAGAAAGGAACTTGTCAGTTTTTTTTAACTAAAAATTAAAATAAAAAGATAATTTAATTTTTTTGTATTATTTTATTGAAAAAATATTAATTGTAATAATATTATAACCTAAATTTTTAATATTGATAAAATAAAATTTAATTATTAATTATAGTGAAGTAAGTTAATGGGTAAGAATAATAATTATTTTAATTTATTCTATAAGAGATATTAATTAATTAATTAAAATTTTCAAAATATTTATATAATTAAATGTCCTTTTAATATATATATATATATTTATAAGAAGTTTAAAAAATATAAAATATGAAAACAAAAATTTAAAAAGAAAGAGTTGACAGACCATTCTTTTAACCCATTTTTTAATGAAATGATTTAAGATTTTTAGTCCACTTTATTATGATAATCTATCTCATAAACTAGCAATAAACATCCATTTTGTTACTATAAGCAAATTACTTCTAGGGTTTTTAATTTTGTTACTATAAGCAAATTCTTGGTTGCATAGGTAATGGTCTCGTAAACATGATTCTACTCACCAATTCTTCCTGTCCGATTAAGCAACTCAGGAATTTAATAGAAAGAATACATTGAACATATTCATTCTATAATCTTCTCAATCGTAATCAGATATGACGTATTTGTATTTCTTTTTTGCACATTGGAAACAGCAACACTTGACACGCACACAGATACACATAACATTTAACGCAAAATCATCAACTTGAAATTAAATAAACCTTTTTACTTGATAGCCACGATCACGAAGTAGCCTCGAAGGGTCATCTCTCGAACCAAGGTCCCACAAAAAACACAAAAACACAACACAAGTCAATTTGACATTTGAAAATTCCAAAAACGACAATAAACGTAAGACGTGACATTTCTTCTAACCTCAATTATTGGTAGTTTTAACAATACGATGCTTCCTCTCACCATCTTCGAAACCAACCCACTTCTTCATTTCCTTCAATCTTTCTTACCCCTTTTTCACATTTATATACCCTCACTCTCCATTTTCCACTCTACCAATTCAATTCTCCACCTTTCCAACTTTTCTCCCTTTTCCCTCACTTCACTTCAATTATACCATGCAAACCTTTGAACAAAATTTCACCTTTTGCATCCCAAACTCTTCACTTTCATCACACTCTGATATCTCTATCACTGATTACTTGCTTCCCCAAGATCTTCAATTTCAAGTTCATACCACCCCTCAAATGCCTCAACTCACATCTTCCTCCAAGCCTCCAAGATCCTCTAATCTAAGCAACCGCAAACCCTCTTTGAAAAACATCACAATCCCTTCTATAACTTCAGGTCTTGTGATGCCACACCACATGGAAACGACATCATCAACAACATCAACAACATCAGGTACAACCGTTTATGACAGCAGCAATCAAGTTTCTTCTTTGGATGATGGCAACAATAGTAGAGAGGATAAGCACTACAGAGGGGTCAGGAGAAGGCCGTGGGGGAAGTTTGCTGCAGAAATTCGGGACCCCAATAGAAAAGGGTCGAGGGTGTGGCTTGGAACCTTTGACACAGCCATAGAAGCTGCTAAGGCTTATGACAGAGCTGCTTTCAGGATGAGAGGGAGCAAAGCCATATTGAACTTCCCTTTGGAGGTTGGAGAATCTGAAGAAGAATCGGTTTCGATCAAGGTTGGTTTGAAGAGAGAAAGAGAGGAAGAAAGTGAAGGGAAGAAGGAAAGTAACAAGCTTGTGAAGAAAGAAGAGTGCTCTCCCAAAGGGGTGTGCCCTTTGACTCCATCATGTTGGAAAGGCTTTTGGGACACTGATGTTATGGGAACCATCTTTAGTGTTCCTCCTTTGTCTCCATTATCTCCACTGATGGTTGTTTGAAGTTATGGCCTTTTGATCTTTCAATCATGAGGAGTTGGCCATGAAAGAAGAAAGTACTCAAGAGAGAGATGTTGCTGCTGATTATCCTCTCTGAGCTGATAAGATATATGATGCTTTGTTTAATGTACATATAGGATAGTATGAAGCAAGATTTCTTTATTTGTTAAACAAAATTTCATGCTTATCTTCTTCCCTTTTCAATGTTCTTTGGTAAAAGATTGTACTGTACTAGAACCAATATTGAAATTTGTTTATTCGTTTATTGAGAGTTGAAAATGGCTGGTGAAGTTATTTATTGGATTTGAATTTTTTGCTGCTGAATCTTGTCTTATCCTCATATCTGTCGTTTCAATAAACTTGTCTACTTATCTCAACAAAGTTAAAGTTTAAAGAAAAAAAAAGAACTCATGAACCTTTAGATTTATTTCAGTACTTGCTAGACTCCCATCAAATCTAATAGTAATCTATAATAATCTGGTATGATAACTTTTTGGTTGAAAAATAGGGTCGATGAAAATATGCTAAAATTTGAGCAAAATAAATTTGGTGATGTTAATTAATTTGTTGTAGTATCTGTATCTGATGTGATTCAGATTATGCAGTACATAGAATTATAATGAAAAAATAAAATAAAATAAAATAAAATAAAATAAAATAAGCATCGGTTTAAGGCTGATGCGAATACTATCACCATCTACTCTCAAGTTTAAGTATACCAATTCAAATGAACTACAATAGAAAATGAAAAGAAAAGGGAGAAATCCCTAACTTACGCTAATTTATTTTCAAATAATTAATTAACCTATACAAAATTATAAAAAATAAATTTTAAAAAAACTAAACTAAACTATTTTTATTCAACTTTTAGAAATTGTACTACTAAATAATAATATAATGTACTACTTAAATCCTTTTATAAGACTTGGATAAGATTTGCTTTAAGTATGTCTTGCATACACTAGCACCTTACTCATTGGAAGTATTTTTAATATATATTATGAAGCATGATAAGTTCATATTCAGTACAATGGAAAATATATAACAGTAGTGACACACATACATGGATGTTGTGTACACACACACGTTCAGTGTACATTAAATTTGGAGAGTGAAAATTTGAATTTCATGGTCAAGAATTTTTCAAGATTTATAAGAAAAAATAGTAACTCTTATCAATGTAAAAGGGTATATATATATATATATATATATATATATATATATATATATATATATATATATATATATATATATATATTATGTGTGTGCTTCGAATGTGACAAGTCTAGACATATAAAATCTAATTTAACTAATGGCTTAACTTGAAATAACAAGTTAAAGATGAAAAATGCAAGAAAATAGTTAAAAAGAAGAAATTTTTTGTTGTTGGAGAAGATAATATATCAAGTACTAATAAAAGTGAAGAGGCGAATTCATTCTAAATGTTGGTGTAGAATCATTTTGTAACAATGTAAGTATTTATGATTTTGTAACAATGTAACTCAATTATAAGACAATTAGTTTATAGATTTTGGACTAATGATTTCACTCATCTTCACTAAAAATGAGATTCTTAACTTCACACTTAAATTCTTCCTAGAAGAGGAAACATTATTAAAAGAGATAGGAATCGAAATCATCTTTTCAAACTCTTTGAGGATTAAGTAATAAACTATTATATTCGTTAGTATCACTCTTAATGGAAATATCTCTAGTTCTAAACATCTATAGGTGAATGGATAGAATTATTATTTAACATGTGAAAATTTAAATTCCATAATATCATCACTAAAAATACTTTCTCTAACACACTTTTATTATCATGTTTTTTTTTACCCCTATGTTTAAATTTGTCTTATCCACTTTAGTTTTAATATTTTTTTAGTGTAGTTTAAAGTTCTTTATGAGAAACAAAGAAATTCAATAACTTTTTTATTTCAAAAGTATTTATAAGATTTTTTTTAATTTTTTTTAATTTTATTTCAAGGTCGAGATATATATATCTTCAAAGGATCAAAAATACTCTTAAACTTCTTCTCTTTCTTTAGTATGAAATATGCTCTTCAAACACCCGTGTGATTTGAGATGTACAAACAATAATGTCTCCCAAGTCCAAGTGGAGGGACTAGAAATGAATATATAATAATTACCTCGTGAACAAATGTTATTTATAATGATTTTATGGACTTTTACTTGATTCGACCTAGATCACATAGATAGTTACTTTTCTTAAGCTTTTTAGGATTTATAATCTATCTTATCTATTAGTATCCTTGTTAGTTATGCTTAATTATTGTTTAGGCATTTAATCAGGGTTGAGGTGTGTTGTTGATATGATCGAGATGTCTTTGTCAATATGACTTCATCTTAGGTTGTCAAGCTATTATCGTCTAAATGTTTTTACTGACATTAGTGTTTTATGTTGACAACATCTCGGTAATGTATGACACATTAAATAATTTTTTTCTTCCAAATTATAATATATATATATATATATAAACAAAATAAAAAATAAGTGAACTAAATAAAAAAATTAATATTATCTTAAATTTTGAAAATCTCAATTAAATGAAAACATTTTTTCTTTTTTAGATTTGCAACACTTAACAAAAATGATAAGTATCTTGTGATAAGAGAGAATAGCAAGAAGAAAGTGAGGGCATATTGACATATTATTGCTAGCAATTGGTGAAAGAAAGAGAGTGTATGATGGCTGTATACGTTTAATTTGGTGATTATGAATTTTTGGTTTGAAAACCATCCATTTGGTTAACAAAAGTCATGCAACATTACATCACCTTCTTTAGATTATAAGAACATACTTTTTTTTTTAAAAATATGTTTGAGGCACATGCCTATTCTCCAATATATAAGTCCATGTTTGATTTAAAAAATTTCCAAAAACAATAACTGATTTTTTTTTCTCGATGTTAAAAGGAAACAAATTTTCATCTAAGCCGTTTGAAAATTTTGTTAAGATATGCCAAATATTCTATTAAAGGATATTGGGCAATCAAATAATATGTTAGTTATAATTTGTGCAAATTTATGCACCTGTCATTCCTTTAATAGATGAAGAATTATAGGATCCTTAAATGTGTGTGTGTGTGTATATATATATATATATATATATATATATATATATATATATATATATATGATACTCTTACTCTTTGAAATAATACATCAGAATTATTCTTTAAACCTTTTATTATGGTATCAAGAGCCAAACAATATAGGAATCAGTGCTTTTTTTCATTGAATATTTCTGATGGCTTCTTCCGATGACAATGAATCGGAGAAACATGATTTTGGGACTTCCGCTGCTTCCAAGAGTTATATTTCTACTGCTGTCGAATTTGTGACCAAGTCAGGTATATCTAACTCTGCCGTTAATCTTTCTGTTGTTACTAAGGGTAGTGATTGGATAATTGATTCGGGTGCTACTGATCATATGACTTGTGATCATCTTATATTTACTAATTTTTCCTCTAATTGTTCTAAAACTTTTATTATTAATGCCAATGGGTCTCATCTCCTATTGAAGGTATATGTACTATATTTCTCTCACCCTCCTTATCGATTCCTGATGTTTTATTTGTTCCTACATTAAACTGTAATCTTATCTCCGTAGTTAACCAAATCACATTCTTGTGTTGCCTTGTTTTACCCAACCCATTGTCTTTTTCAGAACATCCATTCTAAGGAGAAGATTGCTAGTGGTAGAAAGAGTGAAGGACTGTATTATCTTGAAAATGTCTCACAATCAAAGCATAAAAGAGGGTTGGCTTGTCTTACGAATGATCACATACAAGATAAAAACAAAAAAGAAATTTGGTTGTGGCATAGACGGTTAGGACATCCCTCTTTTGGTTATTTAAAAAAATTATTTCCATCACTATTTCATAAATGCAATATTTTTGATTTTTTTTTTGAGAAACTTGTGTTTTGGCAAAAAATCATCGTGTTGTGTTTCCTTTAAGCAATAACAAAACTGATTTTCCTTTTTCATTAATTCACACAGATGTTTGGGGCCCTGCCCCGCAATCTACACATAATGGGAAAAAAATGGTTTATCAGTTTTGTTGATGATTGTACTCGGGTAACCTGGGTATATTTGCTTAAATATAAAAGTGATGATGTGTGTGATGTGGTTCGTTCCTTCTATCATCTGATTGTTACACAATTTAACACATCTATTAAGGTCATTCGATCAGACAATGGAGGGGAATATTTTAAGATTGAATTAATAGAGTTCATGAACTCTAAAGGCATCTTGCATCAAACTACATGTCCTTATTCACCACAACAAAATGGAGTGGCTGAGAGGAAAAATAGACATATATTGGAGGTGACAAGATCACTTTTGATAGATGGTAATGTCCCATCTCATTTATGGGGTGAGGTTGTGAGCTCTGCCATTTATTTAATTAATCGAACCCCTTCTAGTGTGCTTAACTTTCGAAGGCCTTTTGATGTGTTGTTTGATCATTGTATCCTTCCTCCCATAGTTTATTTACCACCTCATATTTTTGGATGTGTTATATATGTTCACTTACACCCACATCAACGTACAAAGCTTGAAGAACGAGCGATCAAATGTGTTTTTGTTGGGTATGGATCAACTCAAAAAGG